AGTTGTGGCTAGAGCCGATAAAAATGGTGAGATAAGTTTTGAAACTTTTTTAACTGAAAATAAGAACAAATAGTTTTGTGGGAAACTTGAACATTAGTTCAAGTAGTAATTAAGAGAAGTTGTAAAAGCATCATTTTTACAGTGATTTGTAATCTCCATTTCCTCCAGACTCAATAATGCTTATCAATTTAGGATGGTGCAAAAAAACATTACATCCAGAGCATATTGCTAGCTCATCATCGCAATCCCATGCCAGCTTTAAATACATCAGTAATGCAATATAAGCTAAAAATAAGTATTAATCAGTAAACGATTGTATATATATATATATATATATATATAAGTGTAAATTCTAAATTATCAATACAAAATACAAAGTAATACAAAAATCTAAAAAAAACTTCTAAATATCATAAAGTCTTATTCCATACTGATGGACGACCCAGACCTCTGAGCTGGATGAGTGGCCTGAAGCGATGATTTAAAATTTAAAGTATATATCATGCAACGTATAGTCATTACAGTCGACTAATCTTAGTAACAAGATTAAAAAATGAAAAATAATTCCCTACCATATGAAATATGTTCACCCTATTTCATCTAAGATTGTGGAGGACTGGCAGTTGAATTGTCTCACATTGATGTTGATAGACCTTAAGGTACCATCGAATTGCACATAGTCTTGCTTACCCAAAATTTATTCTCATCCTTAACCAAACAAGATGAACACATCTCACACATCTGATTTACTGGTAGTCTTGACAACTGATTAAAAAGGGAAAAAATAATTCCTAATTGACACTTTTTGTATCGATGCTAGACCGTATGTCTTGGAGGTGCAGGAGGCTTGCATTGCCCTGAAGGTTGCGCTGATCTTGTATCGCGACCAGCTCGGGATTATTTGGTCCTAAAAGTAACCTTGTAAGCTCTGAACCCTCACACCTATGAATACGAGTATACTATGGCTCGTAAAAAAAAGCAAAAGGGAGTTGGCAAAAAAAGCGTAAGCAAAATTAATGGCTTTTCCAAACTATCATTGGGGAAAAATCCATTTCATCACTTTGAGAGATCTATAGTGACTTAAGCTGGTTTGAAGGAAATAGTGTCCAGGTCTATGATCCTCTCGGAAATACTAATCGGATCCGGACGAGGTGAAAACTATGTAACCAAATATGGATATGAAAGCTTTGCTGAGAAGAAAACCAATTAAATTTAAATAGAAAACTTCAGCTTCCTCAGCCTCTCATTAGAGACAACTCAGTCATCAGGCCTTGGAGCTTTAAATTGACTTAGTTTCACTATGATTTTAGTGTTAACCTGAATACTAGCAGAGTTCTATGAAAGTCTGTAAGACGACTTGGAGCATTGTTATTTCCAGAATGCCATTTAAAGACCGCATTTTAGAGGCGGCATAAACACGACGAGGCATAGTTTAGATGCAGCCACACCCCTCTGAGAGATTAAGATGAAGCCGAGTTTACGCCCGAACGGAAAGTAGGACATTTACAATTAGCATAAACGGTAAAAACTGAAATTCTGCATCTTGCGTTAAAGCGAATAGTTTGGATGTCGGCAGAGAAATCAAACGGACGGATTAAACTCCATTCGGATTAGCCGATGTCACATATTTACAAACGCTAACAATGCCAGCACAATAATTGGTGAAATTCGGTACAAAATTTACTTATCAATGCAAGAAAGAGACATAAATAAAGAGAATATCTGTTAGTATTTTATTTACAGTCTAAAGGTTGAATGATAAGATGACACTTTTGGCGACTTTATAATCATTACGCGGCAATAATATCGAGCATGAGAATGATAATGCCAATGCTGATGAGTGCTATTATAGCATGGTTTACAACCCGACATTTCTGCTGTTCTTATTCCAGCAACTATGCTTTCTAAGCAGGTTTTTTGCCATCAATGCTCAATTCATGTGATGGATATATTATGTAAAGATAAAAATAGATTGGATGAAAGTCAAACAAGGTTAAATAGACAAATGGGAGACAAAACCTTTGTAAGATAATAAGTGGCTGTTAAGCAATTGATGGATAAAAATGGTAAAAATGCCAGATTTTCGGTAAAAAAAACCCACATAGGAGCATGTTAGCAATGGTGTGAACCAGTTTGCATCCAAATAGACGTCATGTTGGAAGAATCACTTAGTCATCCAAATGGGACCAAGGCGAGACTGAAAAGATGGGCCTAAGTCATGCTGGTCTCTTTGAGGCCAATTGACGACAACAGAAAACGTGTCACCATCGGACATATCGACATTGAGATCATACAAACTCGAGAATGGCGAATATGACCAAAAAGACCTCGAGCCGGTGAGTCAATCGTAAGAGGAGGAGGAGAAGTGGGAGATTGTGAGGTGTGAAAATGGTGACGATGGCTTTTGCTGGCCATGTCATGACGACTGATCGTCTGCCGGCTCCTGTTGAATGTGTTTGTCGTCCGTCCAATTCGGCTGATGGTACTGCGTCAAGATTTGCGATTCAAGCTGAGTGTAGCCGGAGAAGGCGGCCAAGGCCATTCGAGCCGACAATCGTGAGACCGGATTCATGAAAGCCGAGTCGAGCAGAAGAATGGCTCGCTTCTCGTTGATGCGCACCTCCTGCAGGATGCGCGGCTCCCAGTACGTGTAGATGTAGGCGAGCAGACGAGGCCATCGCGACACCATTTGCGGCGACACGCACAGCGGACCCTTGTCGAGGAGGCAGTCGATGAAGATGCTGCGCTGGACGAATTGTAGAAAGAAACCGATGCAGGCGTACACCTCGGCGAAACTCTCGCAACATGTGTCCGCGGCACGCACCAAAGACGCCAAAATGTCGTAGAGCAGGTCGCGTGTCTTCAAGTTGGCCGGTCCAGAAACGCCGCCACCGCCGCCACCGCCGCCACCAACGCCGTTGCCAACGCCGACGCCGCCGCCGCCGCCGCCGCCGCCTCCAGTCGTGGAGGTTGCTGGTCCGCCGAGGCCGTTGACGATGCGGGGCTCGCAAGCCAGTCGAGCCAGGCAGATGGCGGCTTCAGCTCGACACGAGGCATGGCTACTGGTCAGGCTGCGTAGCAACTGGTCCAACCAACCGCCGACGATGCCGGCCGAGATGCGGAGGATGCGTCGTAGCGTGACGTTGTGCTCGGCTGCCGCGAGAACGGCCAGCAGTTTGTAGCGAATCGGATGACCCGAAGAGTGTCGGTAGACGAGAAGACCGGCCGCCAGACAGTTGAGTCCGGACAAGAGACGAGCCTGATTTCGTTCCAAGGCCCAAGTCGCCTCGGGAGTGACGCGATGGAAGAGTTGGACGAGTTGAAAGATCACGTAACCGTGCAAATCGCGCAGATCCCCGGCAACACTGGCCAACAGGCTGTCCGGTTGCCGTGGCAACCAGGGCTGAAAGAGCAACAGATGCGTCTGTCCGAGGTCCTGGTCGTTGACGGTCGGAGAGGTCATGTTCAGCGTCAGATTGCCGCTTCGGTTGCCCGGCGCCGACTGTTGCCGTGCGCCGAGGACATGCTTGACTTCACGATCGGCTGTGTTGTTGCTGTTGACGAGGTGGGCGAACGAGGCCGACATTGCCGGCTTGCGTCGGCACACAACCTCCGTGAGCACAGCCTGACCGCCGTAGCTGAACCAGGGACACTTGAGTGTGGAGGCTGTGGGCAGACTTCCGGCCTCCTGGCGGCAAAGGGTACACCTGGCAACAGTTAGAAATGATACACACTCCGAGGCTGCCCTACCAGTTTGCGTGGCCACCAGACCGAGTCGGATGCAATGAATTCTAGCCACAATCATACCAGTTGGGGGAACATGTGAACACCCTTTCTTCATCACCTTCTGGCCACCGCGGATGCCTATAGCCCAGACGGCTAGATTAGTTTGTATGAAGGCTACCTTTATGTTTTATTATTAGATGAATTTGAGACTTAAAATGAACATTTAGTTGGAGTGAATTCGTGAAATGGTCTCGTGGAAGCCGAACGAGGGCGATATCCAAACAAAACAGGTTTGCAAAGCGATCAGTGTAGCTTAATTAATAGTTTCACCCACTTAGATGGAATAACTTGACGAAATATTGGCATAACTTACATTTCGGACGAAGTGGAAGTGTTAGGGATACCTTGATTTCGTATGAAAATGCATGAAGAAGAGATTTAGAGGAAGGCACCTAGTCCGGAGTCCATTGTATGCATCATCATTTTCAGAGTAGGACCGTGGACATGGTACATTCGCAGACATTTCGCAGGCATTGTCAGTGAGTCTTGCCATTCTTAGCACCAGACAACAACTCGTCAAAGAGACAAGTGAAGCCCATCTTTTGACCAAACATGTGCTAAACCGTTGTGGTATCTCCCGATTCTGCAATCTAATGAGGAAGTGTCATTCGGACAGAGTTAAGGAAATACTTTATTATGCCTCCATCCAGAAATTAGAGGAAAGTTACGAGACTGAGAGGCGTAAACTATTTA